TGGTCTCCCTGAGTGAATGACGTGGAGGGCTGTTGCCACCATCTCTTCTTTCTGCTGTTGCTTCCACTGCCCCTCCCCCTTCCAGCAGCTAAGTCTCCATCCAGTTCAAGCTGCTTTGTCCTTGCAAATCAGCCAAGGGACGTCTTTCCGTTTTTCCTGAAAGCCCTTTTGTTTGGTTTTCTGGAATCCTCAGAGCTCCTGTTGTTTTCATCCCTTCCCGGTGACACTTTCGCTGGTACCTGGGCCTATTTTTCATTCCATTCCTTCCTTCTTTGAACTTCCTCTTGGCAAAGAGCAACTTACGGACAGTGGAAGAGCACAGCATTGCTTCATTTGGCTTTGATCAGAATGAAAAAAAAAATCATAGTGGTGAGATTGTTTGGGTAATGCCCTCCCTACTCATGGTTATTTGATTAGCAATAAAAGTATATCCTTGTAGTGTGTTTTGGAGGTGGAATCTGGCCATGAGGAGTTCTTCTTCACCAGCACCAAGGGTTTATTCCTCTCTCCCCCACGAGGGCAAGGAAAAGGGAGAGAAATTCCCCTAGCAGGACACATCTGTAGAGGGTAGATTGCAGCTCTCCATAGCATTTTAAGCAAGATCCAACTGAGCAGAATGGAATTCACAGCTGTGCATGCAAAGACAGATGTTATTAGCTTTTATCCTTTTCAAAGAGTTGAGATGTATCTGTCAAGATGGATATATATTTGTACATACAAAGTCTATAAATATATATATATATATATATTATATATATTTGGTTTATTCGGGGCCATTCCACCTGAACTGTTGTACAAATGTACAATGTAAATTTAACTGCTTATAATGACTCTTCCAGCCCATATGTACGTACATACATAGTCACACTCAGATTAATGGTAATGGTATTTAATGTCTCCTGACTCTACTCCGGCAGCATTTTTGCAAGTTCATATGCTCTTGCTTTGCTACCAGTTGTGATACTGTGTACCTCATTGCCCAAACTAAGAAAGGCAACAAACCAGGTGCACGCTTTTGGTAAAAGAAAGGGTGATAGATTTTTCATATTCCCCTCAGTTCTGTCATCTGGTGTTCTTGCTGCTCAAAAAAGGGAGCCATAGAGCCAGTCAAGGCATAGAGCAGATCCTTTCTGGGAGCAGTCTCCTGCTTTCTTCATTTCTGGCCTCAGTGCTCCACTCCACTGACTTACAGTGTCATTAAAGTACAGTTAATGACGTTTGTGCTTTCTCTTTTCTCTGTTTTGGTTTATTTATTTATTGAGGGCATTGCAATATTAAACTTAGTATTACAAGTCTAATAAATGTTCAGTATGTCAGACGTTTAAGCAGCTCTTTAAAGTAGCCAGTAATATCTGTACAAGCTTTTAGTATGATTTTGGAAAAGGGGCGGCTGGCTGAGAGTTAGAATGATGTGAAACCTGTACTGGTAGTCCTCGACTTACAATGGTTCATTTAGTGACCGTTCAAAGTTGCAAGATCACTGAAAAAAATGACCATTTTTCACACTTATGACCATTGCAGCATTCCCATAGTCATGTGATCAAAATCCAGATGCTTGGCAACCTATTTATATTTATGACGGTTGCAGTGTCCTGGGAGTCATGTGGTCATCTTTTGCGACCTTCCAACAAGCAAAATCAATGGGGAAGCCAGGCTCAAATTAACAACCGTGTTACTAACTTAACAATTGCAATGATTCCCTTAACAACTGTGGTGAGAAAGTTTGTAAAATGAGGCCAAACTCACTCAACAAATGTCTCATTTAGCAACATAAATTTTGGGCTCAATTGTGGTCATAAGTTGAAGACTACTTGTATTGACCGCCACTTCAGATCTTGATCTGTTTCTTTTACTGTGCAGAAACATCAATGAATTTGGCTGTAAGTCAAATCATCTCCCTGCTAGAAAGCCACTTGTCTGCCCCAGTTGCTACTCTTAAACCCAACACAAAAGCAAGGTTCTACATTTAGGCAAGAAAAACCAAATGCACAGGTATAGTATAGGGGGTACCTTGCTCAATAGTAGTAACTGTGAGAGGGATCTCGGAGTCCTAGTGGACAATCACTTAAATATGAGCCAGCAGTGTGCTGCAGCTGCCAAAAAAGCCAACACGGTGCTGGGCTGCATTAACAGAGGGATAGAATCAAGATCACATGAAGTATTAATACCACTTTACAATGCCTTGGTAAGGCCACACTTGGTAATACTGCATCCAGTTTTGGTCACCAAGATGTAAAAAAGATGTTGAGACTCTAGAAAGAGTACAGAGAACAGCAACAAAGATGATTAGGGGACTGGAGGCTGAAGCATATAAGGAACGGCTGCTGGAATTGGGTATTTCTAGTTTAATGAAGAGAAGGACGAGGGGGGACATGATAGCTGTGTTCCAATATCTCAGGGGCTGCCACAAAGAAGAGGGAGTCAAGCTATTTTCCAAAGCGCCTGAAGGCAGGACAAGAAGCAACGGGTGGAAACTAACCAAAGAGAGAAGCAACCTAGAACTAAGGAGAAACTTCCTGACAGTTAGAACAATGAACCAGTGGAACAACCTGCCTCCAGAAGCGGTGAATGCTCCAACACTGGAAGTTTTTAAGAAGAAACTGGACAGCCATTTGTCCAAAATGGTATAGGGTTTCCTGTCTGAGCAGGGGGTTGGACTAGATGACCTCCAAGGTCCCTTCCAACTTTTTTATGATGATGATGATGAAGAAGAAGAAGTTGTATCTAATGGGGCCATCCCATTAACCATGGAGATTGGCAGAAGAGCAACATATGATCAAGTGTTCAGCCTCCAAGTCTGCTCATGAACTTTGAAAAAATAGTACATGCAAATCTGGGGGACATTGGTAATGATGAGGGGAGGAGACCAGGGAGGAGGCTCTATCATGTTATACAACATTTTGATGCAGCCCATAAGAATAGTACCTATATTGCCTGCCCATCCTCTCGTACCATATTGCCAATTGCGTGGGATACTATTATTGTGGTGGTGGTGGTGATAAACAAAATTCAACTGCTTTCATTTAATTGCAAAGGGACAAAAGAAGAATACTGGTGGAATTGGTTTTGTAACTGGAATGGCATCACGAGGTATTTCTCTGTGGGCATAAGCTATTTCTAAGTATATGTTACAGCAGGGGTGTCAAACTGGCAGCCCGTGGGTCAGATGTGTCATGTGCAGTCCAAGCCCACCCTGGCTCCACAAAGGCAAAAAACATTGCAATACGTCACAATATGTCATGTGACGTGATCAAGTTTGACACCTGTGTGTTACAGAATCATTGGGGAAAATAGTGGTTACAGAACTAGAAATCAAATACATTTGTTCATAGATAATTCCCTCATTTGCTCCCTTATACAGAAACTAAGGAAATGTAAATCTTTTGAAATAAGTGTTTCAAAACACATTTTTACTAGTGTTATTCCTTTGAAAGCTGGGCTTCAGAAAGTTCTTTTTTTCAAAATCTTAAAACTTATCAATTACCTCAGGCTGCTTTGAAAGTGTCTCCCATCTTTTTCTTGTTATGAGGGCCTGAAAGAATGGAATAACTATAGGAATAAAAATTGATAAGATTGCAAATGAAGCTGTACATCTGCATACCAACAGTAATAATCAATAATAATGTTTAAGTGATATGTATGAAATTCATTATCCCCTAAAATGTTTCAATTCTGCCAGTGATTTTGTAAGCATTGAATAAGGGGATAAGGGATGGTCATTCTGAGTGTTGTGAATTGCTACTATATCGCAAGCATTCTATGTATTATTACACTGTTCTAAAGTCATCATCTCTCTAGTCGCAGCTGCCACATAAGCTTGGACATCAACTGTGTCAAGAATGCCTTCTGAATTCTACTGCCCTTTAACTTTCACGTCTCCCTGTTTACATTTTAATTCAAATTCTTAACTCTCACTTGATGTGTGCTACATTCACTCTGGCATAACTTTATTTTTGTAGGTTGAGATGGAGGCCATTCAGAGCACAAGACTTGGCCTTGATCTAGGCTTTTCTAACAGATTTCGCATCTCTTCAGGAACTGACAGAAATACTGGTCTTGGATCCAAATTAGTAGAAGTTGTGAGAAAACATTTAAAACTCATTCTGCTTATAGAGAAATTTTCTCTTGATGAACATGGTAAGCAGCCTGGGACTCATGTGTTCACTGCCAGATCCCATCATGGGCTGCTGTTCCAACTGAGGAGATGAATTCTCCTGACTATCCTAGATGTAAAATCAAAGCCCAACACTTAGAATGAATTAGTTCAAGGGGCCTCTGTGGTTTGATGAGATAGATAGAATGACTCTGACAGGTTGCTGTGTGCTTCCATCTGTTCTGGATCTGAAGGTCAACTGCTACAAGCTGAGTATCTGATGCTGACAGGGTTCCAGCACAATTTCTTTATGGAAGTGTGAGCTGTTATTTTACCTTCTGAACTTTCATCATTTCCTGGTGCCTTCCATTTAAAGGAGGAAATACTGGCTGGTATTTTGTGTCACACAGAAGTTTGATTCATACGTTAATAGGGATCAGAGGAAGAAATGTGATCCATCTTTCACTGCCTCTTATACAAGATGGGAAGTAGAATTTTTGGGTTACTACCAAAATAAGATTTCTGAAATTGAGAAAATGGTGGAGCTTACAGTTCTTTGTGGCAATGATTCATCCTCAAGGAATTTATATATTTGATTGTCCCCAAATACAAACATAAAGGTAAACAGGAACAAGTTGGCACTTTTTCCTTATTTCTATGTTCCAGAAGATATCACTATTCTAAAATTGCCAATAGTAGCATTCTCTAATATGATACAATTTTTCAAGCTGGGAAAATAAGAAATGAGGTATTACTAGGATAAAGCTATATTGATTTTCACAGTTCTGTGTAGCATACTAATTGGGGAAAGATGGTTTCCTTTCCTGTCTATCCTCAAGGTTTAAAACTGATAGAAAAACTAATTAGGGCTGAAATAATACCTTTTACAAATAATGTCAGAGCCAAATTATATGCAGGGCTACATTTATTTGAACTGAGTGTATCAGAGATATAAATTCTGAAAGAGAGAACACAACTTTTATTAAAGCAAAATCAATTATCTCAAAAAATTACAAGCAGTCCACGTTGATGATCATTTTTCTGTATTGGAATTTCAAAGATGCAATCTGACAGTTCTATCAATACTATGTTCCAAATATCACAAAGGCATTTTTTTCTTAAAAGTCTCCTTTAAAACAGCCCAATCAAGATGACGTTTTAACCGATCTGACAAAGAATGCATGCTGTCTGTTTTTGAGACAAAAAAAAAAAACAGGGTCAGAAGAGGAATCATGAACACCATCCAGGATTAGAAGGCATTCTAGTATGCAAGCTAAGGTTGCTAATGGGGACAAAGTCCCAGCTTTGTCCATGTGACATTTGTCCTTCATAGCTGCTTAGGGAACTTTGTTGCTTAACATCAGCTATATGTCAGCTTTCAAGCATCAGATATATAACATGCTTCTTACCAACATACGTGAAGGCAGCCAAACTTTATGTTAAGATACACAAGAGAGATGATATAGAGATTTTTTATTCCCCGTGGGAGAATGTATGTACTTTGATGATATTCACACATTAATATTATAATGATAAAAGATAACTATATGGGAGAAGGCTATATGTTTGAGAACGTCCACGTGCAATTGCCTTTATGACCTGGTTCTTGAAAAAAAAAAGATGAAAGCCATAGTTCAATAGTTGGGGATTATTACTCAAATGCCTGATGGAGAATGATCATTACAGGTAAGTCCTTCTTCCTATCGCTGTTGTTGAATGCTTTAAAATGTGTCACTCATTCCTTGAACCAAGAGCACTTTCACGCCACTGTTGTTTACCACTTCAGGACTGGCCCAAGTGATTTGACAAAATCAATTGTTTTCAGGAGACAAAAGACTTTTTTCTTTGACTTACTAGTGGAAGTAAAATTTTCTTTTGACTCACTAGAGTTCTGCAGACATTATGGATGATTCATTTCTACATTGCCAGGAATTGTTGTCCATGCTGACTACCCAGCCATTAACTGCTCCTCCTCACACATAACATAGTTCAACACTGTATTCCTGGAGTTTGTCTCATTTTGTATCCTTATTCAGAGTTAAACTTTCCTTCTTCCCCAGTCTAGCTAACATAGCAGCATGTAAATAAGGTTACAGCTAATGAGAAATGTCACTAGTTGCAAATGGTTGATCAGCTGTTCCTTTCACAGCCCACAAGGACTTTAGAACGCAACAGAGTGGTGGGACAACAACCAAGAAGCCCTGGAAAATTTCAGTCTATTTGTTAACATTTTTTAAAATCTTATCTTGAGTTAAGCTGTTAGTCTATTTTTATTAATATTGTTTGTGTAGTGAAATCTGCCTGATGCCAGCTTGCACAAACCAGTGCTCATATACAGTACAATTAATGTTGTGTAACATTCAAACCTGGTACTTCTACAGGAAGTCCTCATTTAGTGACCAGAAATGGGACTGGCAATTTTTAAGTGAAGTGGTCAGTAAGTGAAAACACGGATGTGCCTCCAATTTTAGCTTTCCTTTGCTTTAAAGATCTGCTAAGATCATAACTGCAAGGACTGATTGATTGCAAGTTAGTTTTTCATCATAATCATAGCTGTGAACGGTCACTAAATGAGGCAGTCAATAAACAAGGACTACCTATACTGCAACAGCCAGTGATGTTAATGTGGCAAGCACATAAAAGCGGTTCTAGTGCCTAGCAGAGATGTTAGTCTAACTAGTAGTAAACATCCTGTGCCTCTACTCATGCACTGCAAAGGATCATGCGTGTATCACAGTCCACAGGAGGTGCAAGGGGAAGAGATCGTCATACTATACCTTCTTGCAGGGTACGAAGAATTTAAACAGATGCTGGATTATCACTTCGAAACACAAATCCTTTGACCAAAACAAGGACTACCATTAATTGGAAAACTAATTTACTCTGAAGAAAGCCCTTGCTAATGACCGGTCTGATGATATACGAAAGCCAAATTTTGGCTAACAGGCACACTAGTGCATCATGATCCTATGTCTACAGTGGGCTAAATTTTAATCAAAGTTTCTTATTTATGCTATGCCAATCCCAAACAATCATCCTTCTGGATCGCTGCAAGCCCCATATGTTGGCTGCCTCACATGTGAACGAGGTAAGCTTCCAACCTTGGTTAGAGTGGGTCCTGCAAAGACTTAAGAAGGAGGATGTGTGCACCTACATTAACCATTTTATTCGTGTCACATTCATGCAGACACAGCAAAGAAGATTTGATCTCGCCCCTTTTTTAGGCATTGACAAGTGGACTAAATTGCCACTCTGATTTGTGTTGTCTCCCTTAATGCAGGGCTTAGAATAAAAGGATTCAGTGCCTTGGACTATAATTCAGAATTATAGTCACATACACAATACCATTTCTGGGTTATCTACCACCTCAAGAATTCTGTTTTGTAGCAGAACCCTAATGTGAGGGAAATAATTACTGCTACAACTAAAAGAGCAAGCGACTAAATTTAATTTTTAATGTGTGCTGTTGTGCCCACAGGAAAAAATGATAATAAAGGTTATCCAATCTAACCTAAAATCTAATCTATTTGTCAAGAAAATAGTCACTGAACGTATTCCCTTTGTGTTTCCTCTGCCTACCACTGTTGCAATACATGATAGATCAAGGTTCCCAAACTGTTAGGAAGGCCATTGCATCTTCCTTTTATGTAATTTGAAGGTATACAGCTCCTCTTAGAAAAAAAAAAACACCAAATGAACAATGAAAACAATAAGTGAAATTTGGGAAAAGTGGTTTAATTGTATCAGTATACAACTTCATACCTTCCCTAGACTGTACTTCCCCAAGGAAGGTGGGAACGAGTATGAGAGATAGGATCATGTTTACATCTCAACATGGCTTCTGGCAAAAAAACAATGAAGCAGCAAAATATTTCTGGCATAGCCAACTTGAAATCTGTGAATTGGCTCTATTTTCTCTTCAGAAGGGAAAATTGATTATCTTTCTATTTTCTTTCTATTTCCACCCTACAGAGAGCAATCTTAATCTTTTAATGCTCTTCTAGATCTCCAATTGTACAGAACTCAGGAGAACTTCTAAATCAGAGATTGATTGATTGAAAATAAATGCTATGGGGAGAGAATCATATTGGGATTATAACACTATAAAAGGGAATATTTTTTCCCATAACCCCTAGATACTACTGGGAGCAATGCAGAGAAACCTGGAAAATATGCCTATTTGGAAATGCATTTTCCAACACTGGGAGATAACATCACTTCTTTAAAAGATTCCTACGTTTTCTTTAGTCCTAAAAAGTAACCAGTCTGAATAACTCTCCTGGATGCATTTTAAAATAACGTAAAAGATTTTTACTTAAATGAATAACCCTTTACCGTAAGTTGCCTGGGAAAGAAGGTTGACAGAGTCCATACATGCTTTTGTCTGCCAGGTGCTTTTATGAACAAAAAAAGCAAAAGTTCTGTTCACGTAATGGCCAATACCTGCTTTTTTAAGATTGCTTGGCAGTTGATGGCTTTTGGATACTGCTCCTTTTATTAATCCTGTTAGCTTTAATCAAACTGTTTCTGAATCTTGTTTGGTCTCTTTGTCCTTTGTCAATATGTTACTCAAAGGATGTTCCTACTTTATCTTTTTGTAATTGCAAGTCTAAATTCTTAATTGGGGGTGGAAAGCCCCAGATGTGGGATATAGCACCTTTGGGGTGTTGGGCCAAGCCTAGCAATTAAGGGAATTAGCTTGGAGGAGGAGGAGAGAAGGAAAATCTAAAGAGCCACTTAGAGATCTAATCACTATCACCAAGTTCACACCTATTAGTGCTATTTATGTTTAATAGGAAGAAAGAGAAGTGCTTGCCAAAGATATGGAAGGGCGATTGCACACAGGTAGAATTTCATGCTTATGGAGCCGTTAACTGTATTTCTCCATCTCCAAATCAGAGGAAACCCACAACATGTGTGCATTCCACAATGATTCCAACAGGGAAAATCAAGGGGTTGAGTGCATAACACATAAATGAAGCTGATGCTTATTCATTGACAAATCTCAGTCACCCCTAATCTATGCAGGCCAGTGCTTTTCCCCAACATTTGCAGATCTTTGAACATACATCTGAAGGCTAGGAATCCACAAGACTGAATTGATGGCAAAATTTCTGTAGCAGCAGAGCTTTACAAAAACTGATCACAGCTTTACAAAATTGGCCATAGTGGCTATTCCCTTTCAATCTTCTCTTTGATTTAAAAGTCTATCTTCAGCTTTTGAAATTGTGATTTATAATTCATAGGAATAAACTTACGTCACTCTGCAGAACCCTACCTAGATAAGTATGTAGTATCATAAACCAAATGGCTTCCATAATTCATTATCTAATACTTCTTTTAGTATTTTTACATGACCTTGCTTATCATTGATTTTGATAATATAATGGTCTTGTCTTGAAAACTTTGTAGATTTTAAAGTTGTGTAGAAACTTTAAAAGAAGGTAGTAGATAATTAGAATGGCCTATAACAGGGGTGTCAAAGTTACAACATCACGTGACGTGTTGCAATATATCACGACTTTTTTGCCATTGCCGGCAATGGGGTGGGCGTGGTTTTGCCATGAAGCATCCGGCCCGTGGGCCAGCAGTTTGACACCCCTGGTCTATAAGTTGACAGGTACCATGCACAAGAGCCATGTTATTTATCATACTTAGCCTCAAAGCTTGGAGAAAGTAATGTGACAAGGCATTCTTTTGACTCAGCACTGTCTTGTTATTTCAAAGGTATGCAATTTAAGATATTTATGGTTGTAATAATCCTATGCAAGCAAGGGCCATTGAGCACAGTAAACACAATGACGTCCTTAGGATTCTATTATACATGCCATAAATTTCTTTGAATAAAATTGTCCCAGTTGGGTATCTATCATATTTGTGCAGTTATAAAAACAGGAGAATGTAAGACGTCATAGATTAGTTCAGGGTTTTGACAGGGTGTGTTTACACTAATGTTCAAGCTGTAGCAGATGCTTATTTGCAATAAAGACTTTTTACTATACTGTCTGCAATGCAGCAGTGAGCTACTACTACATGAGTGAGAAAAATAACTACTGGTGTTTTTTTCATGATCTTTCGTTCTGCTTAATATGAAAATCTCCCAGTAGCATGTGGATTGATTTCAGGATACAATATCTTAACTGCTGTGGCTTAAGTTGTCTGCCAAATTCGGCTGATGACAACTTTATGCAATGATCACTTTAAGCCATGTGGTTCTCCAGATGAACAACTATAAATCCTACCAGCACCAGCCAACATAGCCGGTAATGAATTGGAATATGTGTTCTATGGTATTACAGTCCTCTGATTCCTCAACCATGCTTTTAAAGTCATACAGTGAAAAATTACCATAGGTCTTCCTCCTACCTTCAGGTTCAGTTTACCACATACCTGAGTCCATCTGGATGTTCAGAGGAAATTCAAATAAATGCAGGAATTGAGCTGGACTCAATAACTCTTGACATTCCAGGAGGAAACCAATGGTGTCTTGGGAAACAATGAACTCTGGGACTTCCTCCAAGAAATGATCTGGTAGGTTCTTAGGGCTCTGAAGATGACAGAAGCAGCAGCAGCAGCAGCTGGTCAGGTAATTTCTCACAGCCCAGCAAGTGCAAATAAACACAGCACACAATGTTTTGTGTCATACTCAGTTGTGGAGAAACTATTGCTTGCTGGCTAATGCAATGGAAAAGCCAGAAAGGCACCTGTGACACCTCTTTTTCCTTTGAAAGATGAGAGTGGGCAGGAATAGGAGCATCAATCAAATAATTGTAGGGGTTGCAGGTGCTGTGATAGTGCCACTGTCAGGGGATGGAGGGATTGTTTACTCCAAATCTAGATGCTTCCTCCCTGTAAAACTCACCAGGACACCAAATAGCCGTAATCCTAGGTAGCAGTGCTGCCAGGTCAAATACCTTTTATCTTTTAAGGAAAAGATGTGGGGAAGGGGAAAAAAAAACCCTCTACCATAATTTAGTTGAAAATTTCCATCAGAAAGAAATGATAGCTATCATTTTGTGGAGTGGGAGGGGGGGAAATAAAGCGCCAATTCTGAGAGACATCACTGCAGTAAAGGCAAAAACCTGCATATCACTAAAATTTCAATCTCAGAGATGATAGGTGGGAACAACTGGCTCTGCCATGTGCAAGACCTTCACTGCAAGGGTGAGTCTTTGCCTTACTGTCATGCCCACAGTAAAAAGTGTTACAGGCACCTCCCTAATCTGCTGCCTTCATTAAATTGAAATTGCAAGTTCCCAAGTTCCCAGGTGATGCAATCATGGGCCATTCTGGTTTGGAATTCTTAGAATGTTTGTCCCAGAGCATCTGGGAGGCATCAGGCTAGGGAAGGAAAGGGTACTTCCCTGGCAACTGTGGGAAACAAAAGAAGGTCCTGAGCCTTCAGAAGCCAGAGATCTTTCCTTCTTAATTCTCCCTAAGAAAAAGGCCAAAAGCTGAGAGGGATGTAGGTGGCCCCTTTACACTTTTTGAATTGTCCCAAACACCAGGGATCACCTTTCCATACTCCACACCTTCCTAGTCATGTCTTGGAGATTCTTAGAAGCCAAGATTCTAGATATATATACTGCCATGGCTGCAGACTCTGGGCCTCCCTTCCCACCTTCATAAAGTTAGGCCCCTATCATCTTCCCCCACCTTGCATTATTCCAGATATTTGTTGATTATATTGCATGCTGCTGAGGGTAGGTGTGGGACTGCTACATAAAATATGGGGCCAAGGAAAAGCCTTTTCTGTGGTGGATCCTTTCTTTTGGAATATCATTCTCCTGAGGTAAGATTGGCCTCCACTTTGGTACTTTTCTGCAAAGCCCTTAAAACAGCAGTTCTCAACCTATGGGTCGCGACCCCATTTGGGGTCGATCGACCATTTCACGGGGGTCGCCAAGCAAGTCTGTCCGCCATTTTTTCCCCTTTTCCGGCGAGTGCCTTATCTCCCTTGGGCTGGGCCAGCTGGTGCCCAGCCGGTGGTCAGCCTGCTCCGTCTCTGCCTCTTGCCAGCTACGCCTCGGCCAGCGCAGGGGGTGGCACCACGCATGCGCAGCACTCCCAGGCAGGGAAAGTCCTCGACTTACGACCGGTTTAGTCCTCGACTTACAACCGGTTGGAAGTTGCAGCATTAAAAAGGTTGAGAACCACTGCCTTAAAACATAATTTTGTCAGTGGGCTTGGGGATCCAGGATGATATGGGGCTGATCAAGTGGCTGGTGTGATTTGTGTGGTTGTTACCACTGCCAGGAGGATGGGTAGCATGTTTATGGGTTCTTACATTGCAAAATTTTAATGTTGGAAGCTGCTCGGAATCCCCATGCATGCGTTGGGCAGCCATATCAATTTGTTTTATAAATAAATAGCCTCTCCCTCCCTGGAACTCTCTTGCTAGGCACAAACTCCATCTCCCCCCCCCCAATGAGCAGCACCAATAAATGACTTCAGTTTCACTGCATTTAGTAAAGAAGACTGGTTAGGCACAAGTCTTTAGATATATGAGAAGTGTGTCTCAAAGGGCAAATCATCGGCAACAGTTAAGTTACCAGCACCTTCTCAGGCCTCAGGTAGTAGCCATGAATATGGAAGAGGCTTAAGGATTTTTCAAGTCCTTCTGGAAACAGCTGGAGAAGCTATACCTTGGGATACTTCAGCAGATGTTTGCCCAGTTTCAAGAGTGCAGTGAGGCATTCAGAGATGGTAGCCTCCACTGGCTCCTCGTGGGAAGTCTCATAGTTCAGGTATCTCTCCGGTAGATTCAACATTTTATAGCTCCATTGTGGGAAGAGTCGAGAAGGGAGATTGTGGGACACTACCAGGATCTTAGCATCCAGGACTAGCACTCTGAAATAGTGGATCAGGACAAAGTCGTGTTAGGTACCAGTGAGAGAGGACAAGCACTTCCTCATGCTTGGAGAAGATAAAGTAGTCAGACTTCTCCTTTGGAGCAAAAGGCAATGAAGCAGCCTCATTCCAGGTAGAAAAACAGAGATTTACACACAAAGAATGGTATTAATAATACCTTAAGAGAAAATTCTTTCTTTCCTCTAGAAATTAAGACATTTCTTAAGCTTCAAGAGGGAAATACAGCAAAATATACAAAGACGAAAATGTATTGTCACGTGTAGTATAAACGTTAGAGAGAATCGGGGTTTTCCTGTAAGAATCTGGCACCCTGGAACTGTTTTGGCATGTTGACAAATATGTGGATGTCATTTATTCAAATATTCCTCACTCAGGCACCAGATATCATTCATGATAACAGGAAAAATGGTTCCATTTGGTGACAGAAAAGCTCTATTCAGGCATGACAGTTTATTCACACAACTAGTCATCGCAATAACATATCATCATTTGTTATGTCAGTGGCCCATCTTCTTTCAGAATCAGGCCTCTGGCTGCATATAAAGTTTTAAATCTGGCCAGAATTACAGTTTATATCTTAATCTCACTTTTCTGTCAGATAAGTAACATAAATGGTTCTCTAATGCTTTCACACATTTGTAAGATAATTAGCTGGAGCAAGGTTGCTCCACAAATGAGCAAGGACATTTGGGAAACCAAAAGGATTATCGGCCAAAAATATTCAGCACTAAAAAGCTGGGTCCTGTGTCCCACAAGCGCAAAATGCATTTTAGGGTTTCAAAGCAAAACTTTTCAGTAGTGTAAGGGGAGGGGAGAGAAAGCCCTCGGCTTAAAAGAAAATTAATGACTTACCTCTTCTGCTGTTCCATGTCCCTCAGATCCCGTAGGACAGAGTAGAACACATCACTGGATGACTAAAAGAAAAAAATCATGCTAAAAATCACATTAGTAGTAACTCATGCCATTCAAGACGAGCGTCCATCTTGCTCCAGTGAGCCTGTTCCTGGATCATTTATTGCACAGGGAAAGGTTGTCAAACTATTAGGACATCTGTCCATTTTCTCCCCTGGACATCCTGCACTAAATGATCTGCTGACTTTCTGTTATCACAATTTATGGCAGCAAACCAAGCAAGAATCTCCTTGCCAACCAATAATATGAAAATGAAGAGCACCTTTTTCTCCACATGTCCTCTGTCCAGCAGCATAGCCTTATAATGAAATAGTATCCATCTGCTTTCACAACGGTAGTCAATCAAAATTTTATGTCGTGACCTTGTAAATTGTCTGATTCTTATTTTTTCTCATCAGTCGACAGACATGACAGCCAAGTTCTACATTATTTATTTCCTGATTCCAGTAGGAATCCAGTCTCCTCAAATCTATGATCACTGTAATCTATAGATCACACGACATCTCATATTTTTCTGTGGTGAAATTTGGTACAAGCCTGATTGATTCTATATTGTCATTAGCATATGTTCTTGAAAATAAAGGTTTGTTGGAAAAAATATTGAGATTGAAAAAGCAATCTTTCTGATGTTGGAAAAGATAAAAGTCTTTTTTTTAAAAAAAATAGCTTTTGGGTGTAATTTCTGTCACAGATACCAAGAATTGTGTCCACCTCCCCCTCCCCCTCCCCCGCCATCCATGTCCTCCTCTCCCAGTTGAGGTGTCTGATAACCCTACTAAATAATGATTTTCTTCCTTCTGGAGCTTCAATCAAGAAAAAAGGAACTATTCCACTTCTTGTTACTTTTTTGCAGCTTTTACTTCTAATAGTATACAGACCCACAGCTGGTATAACATAAGCACAAAGACTACATTAAAGCTATTGATCTTAAGGGGGAGGAATCCCCCCAGGGTCCTGCAAGGACATTAGAATAGAATAGAATAGAATAGAATAGAATAGAATAGAATAGAATAGAATAGAATAGAATAGAATAGAATAGAATAGAATAGAATAGAATAGAATAGAAAATAGAATAACAGAGCTGGAAGTGATCTTGGAGATCTTCTAGTCCAGTCCTCTGCTCAAGCAGGAGAACCTATACCATCTTAGACAAATGACTCTCTAGCCCAGAGATCCCCAACCTTTTGGGCACCAGGGACTGGTTATGTGGAGAGAGGTTTTTCCGCGGACTGGGGGGGGGGTGGTTTTATGTGCTGCCTGCATCCCATGGATGGGGCTTTGCTTGTTGGGCGGCCCGGTTGCTTTGCTTGTTGGGCAGCCCAGTTGCTGGCATGCTGCGGTCCAGTACCAGTCCACGAACCGGAAGTTGAGGACCCCTGGTCTAGCCTCTTTTTTAAAATCTCCAGTGATGGAGCGCCCATGATTTCTGGGGGCAAGCTATTCCACTAGTTAATTGTCCTCACTGTCAGGAAGTTTGTCCTTAATTCCAGGTTGCTTCTCTCTTTGATCAATTTCCAAGGTTTGCTCCAAGTCTTCACTGTCACACAGCAATCCTGCAGACACAGCATTCAGATTTTAAGAGCAAGGTTCATACTGAACCAATCCAATTTCTTCGGCAAGCACGATCACTGCAATTGCCTTTGCGTAAAGTCCCATGAAGCCGTTCCCTCAACTCTGCCTGGCTCCCTCCTTCTGAGCAAGACCTTCCTTGGCTCCTCCCCCTTTGATTCTCCATAGCAATGATTCAAGCAAATCCACTTCCTTGGCTCCTCCCCCTTTGACTCTCCATAGCAATGATTCAAGCAAATCCACTTCCTTGGCTCCTCCCCCTTTGACTCTCCATAGCAATGATTCAAGCAAATCCACTTCCTTGGCTCCTCCCCCTTTGACTCTCCATAGCAATGATTCAAGCAACTCTATAATGGTTGATCGCCACGCAGAGCTAAGTAACTATATAAATAAAACTATATAAACAAACAAACAATAAAATCTTCTCAGAGGGGAAACTTCCAGTTTTTTTCTTTCTCTGCCACCACCATTCAGAATCCATTGCGCAAACACACATGCTGCAGCCACCCGGCTACTCGGTGGTTTTAGAGAATAGGTTCTCCTTGCGCCTTCTATCTTTTTTTTTATTATTTTATTAATTTTTTATTTTATTTTAAACAACAAAACAAAATAAAGCAAAACATAACACATATACACACACAGTATATACTCCTCCCCCCTTTTTTTAACAGTAATTACATAATGGTAATCTTCTATTATTTACATTTCCCCCCTTATTCTTCTTTAAAATATTTGTCCTTATTGCCCCGTTGTTTCTTATTTACATTTTTCTTCCTTCATATTCTACTTCTTACTAAGAATAATTTATATTATTATTATTATACATTATTATACACATATTTTCACTTTTGACCTTTCCATATTTATTCTCATCTATTATTTCTAGTCTCCAACCAGTCATACAACTTGTTCCATGTTATATAGTACTCTCTGTCTTCCTTTTCTTTTATCTCTTTTGTTAATTTGTCCATCTCAGCACAGTCCAGGATGTTTCTTATCACTTCTTCCTCTGATGGTATATTCTCATTTTTCCAGCACTGTGCATATGCTATTCTTGCCGCTGTTATTATATGTAAAATTAAGTACCATATTTCTTTACTATATTTTATGTGTAAAATACCCAACAAAAAGATCTCTGGTTTCTAGTCTACGGGTTGATCTATTATTTCTTCAATCCATTTTCTTATTGTAGTCCAGTATTTTTTCGCAACTGGGCATGTCCACCATAATGATAATATGTTCCATGTAGTTTTTTACATTTCCAGCATGTTGGCAAATTGTTCTGGAACATCTTGGCATCTCTTGCGCATAATAGTACTTCTGCCAGCAGAGGGAGCTGTCCCCTTTTCTTCCTTACCAGTCTATGAAGCTGAGAGCTTTTACAGTACAGTACTTGCTTCCAAGGTACTTATTTTATTTCCGTTCTATTCTGTTCCCCCATACAAGTTAAACTATGATCAGTTCTTGCAGGAAGGACAATTCAGGCTTTGGTTTTCATTTGACCTACATCCTGAAATTTAATTTTTTAGCCATTCCTAGCTTGTTCCAGTTGTCCAGATAGTCCTCTATTTAACAACCACAATTGAACCCAAAATTTCTGTTGCTAAGTGAGACATTTGTTAAGTGAGTTTTGCCCCCTTTTACGACTTTTCTTGCCACGTTTGTTAAGTGAATCACTGCAGGTGTTTAATTAGTAACACCGTTGTTAAGTGAATCCGGCTTCCCCATTGACTTTGCTTGTCGGAAGATTGCAAAAGGGGATCACATGATCCTGGGACACTGCAGCCATCATAAATAGGAGTCAGTTGCCAAGCATCTAAATTTTGATCACGTGACCATGGGGATGCTGCAACAGTCGTAAGTGTGAATAATGGTCATAAGTCACTTCTTTCAATGCTGTTGTAACTTTGAACAGTCACTAAACGAACTGTTGTAAATTGAGGACTACCTTTATTGCATCCATAATAACGGTAGAAAAAAATAGATTCTCTTCCTCCCCAGTTTATTGTCATTTTCTCATAGCAAAATACAGTAGCATTTCCTTTCTTAATCCCAGTGCTGGTCCAATGTTCTATAATTTTATATTGCTCATAATGGCTTATAGTGATAGAGATTATGGGTTTTAAAAAATCCCTATGATTGAGTCCCTTTATTCAAAAATGAAGGTGCACACAGACCCTAATGAGATAAGTCTTTCAAATGAATTAATATCAGAAATGTTGTTTATCATATGCCAAACTCTTTCTGTTCCTGTGTAGACCAACAGCAATATTATAAACCTTCCAAAAACCTGAATTGTTAAAAGGTCTAATCTAAGTCTGCCATTGTCCCCAATGTGCTTTTGGCAGACTTAATGTCTTTGGAGATTCTCAGTCATCTGAGTCAGGGCTGACCCAAAGGTGTTTTCTTTTTTCTAAAAGGCAACTGGACTTTCTTTTTCCTTGAAGATGTTTCGCTTCTCATTCAAGAAGCTTCTTAGTTCAGAACGGAAGAAGCTTCTTGGATGAGAAACGAAACATCTTCAAGGAAAACAAAGACAGTCCAGTTGCTTTTTGAAAAAAAAGCACCTTTGAGTCAGTCATGACTCGGATGATTGAGAATCTCTAGTATAGACATTAAGTCTACTGTTATAAAGAACCATAGTGGTAAAATCAGTTTCTGTTGAGATTTTAAAGTTTGAACCAGTGCTGTGAGTAAGAAGCCCTAGACACATGGCATGGAAATGCAGTTCAAACCATTTTTAAGCAGGAAATGAAATACAATATCATTAGCTATGTCTGTTATCGAAGTGAGATTGTCCACAAACATTCTTGAGGCTAGAAGAGAGGATATTCAGCAATGTTTCCACAAAATCCAACAGTTTCTGAGTGGGAAACGAAAAAGAAAAAAGCAAGAAATAACCATGAAGAAATAATGTAACTTATTTTCATAGAGAGGGTGTGGATCTAGTATCTATTACGGAGACGTTTTTTTCTCCAATTCATTCGTCATAATTGTATAATTGTTTCTAACACATCATCTTTCTTTTAGGTTAGGAAAAGTAATCAATATGGAATCCTCAACAAAATGATGTCTAACCACCCTGCAAAATTAGAAAATGCTTCTTACATACAGAGTAAAGCTGAGGCATGAGCTGGCTGCAGATTTGCTAAATAGAGTGCCTGTTTTCTAATACACTTTAGAGAAATGGGTATATTTTCATCTAAACAAGTTGTATGTACAGTATTTAAGCAGCTAATCCATTCAGACAGTTGTTCCATTAATGGTTATTCTAAACTGGGGATTCAATTGTTTCATAGTCATTTACACAGGTACCACACTGTATTTCAAAAGTCTAGTTAAAACATTCAGTATTCAGCTCTATCAATGGTCAACAAGAGCTAATATAAATTCTTTGCAGAATTGATAGACACTAGCACACAGACAATTTTTAGCTCAGTTTGTAAAACTGTCCCTGACTTTTCTCATTAGCTCTCAGTTACCATACAGATAGTGTTACAATGGCAATTGGGACAGAATTTCCATCACTAAGCAATGTGGTCATAATGCACCATGTCACATGGCTGTATTACTTAGTGATAGCAATCCCCGCAGTCCTTGCAACTTGCCACCATAACCCCAGGACTGAACAGGTCATTAAGCAGGAACAGACAGGAGTCCCAGGCAAGCAGGATGTGGAATGGCACGACTTGTCATGGCCAACTCTCTGCAGCCAACACACCACAATCAACTCACCATAACCAACTTGCCAAGGGACAACTCACCCTCAGACACTTTAGACAAATGGATATATTGTCATCTAAACAATTTGTATTTAAGCAGCTAATCCGTTCAGACAGTTGTTCCATTAGTGGTTACTCAACTCACCATGACTAACTCGTTATGGGACAACTCATCGTTGGACAATTCAAAAATTCAATTTAATTATTTAAAATAAATTTTAAAAAATATTTTAATTTTTGTCATTCACATTTCATTCTGCCCATCCTTTTGCATCCTTTCTTTAATGATTCTATTCCACTATTTCTCTGATATTGGTGTAACTCCTGTCCCACAGAAAGTTGTCCCACAGTGGGTTGGCCGCGGCAACTTGGCCGTGGCAAGATGGCTGTGGCAAGAGTTGGCCATGATGAGTTGGCTGCAGTGAATTGTCATAGACCCACAAGTGCTACACAGCACCTGAAAAAGTGGCAGAAGTGGGAGTGACCTCTGATCAGCTTCTTCATTGACTTTGTTTATGGGAAGCTGGTTATGTCAGAAATCACAATCATGTGGCCACAGCTCACTGCAACATCATAATTTGCGCTGGGCAGCGAATACCCATTTTCAATCCCATGTCTATGGGGATGCTGTGACAGCTGGAATTCTTAGCACCAGTCATTCAGTGCAGCCATAACTTTGAATGGTCCCTGAACAAATGGTTGTAACCAGAGGACCACCTGTGGAATACAAGCACGGTGCCCAAGACACTCTTTTCACATGTATTAAAGAGATCACAATGTTATTTGCTCTTTTATTTCCCTTACATGATTAAGTTGATCGTGAAAGCAGGCAATGTTTAAACAATCTAATTTAATTTACTACGAAAGAAATTATTTGGGGAGCAAGTTGTTTGCTACTAAAATGCATTCTTAAAAGGCCTAATTTATAATCCATCTAGTAATGTGATTTTGAAAATTCAGTCGAAAAGAAAGATATACTGTCTGTAAATTGTAAGCTGGGATGCTTATCAGAGAGACAAGCTTCAAAAAATGAAAAAGCAAGGCTTTAGTCCAATTCATTCAAAAGAAAATTAGAATCTCATGAGAATATCTGGAGACTTCAAAGCCCAGCCATCACCAGAGATCAGAAAGTTCAACCAATTGCTTTCAGAACTCTTCTTTAAATTACAGAAAATACATACAAATACATACAAATAGCAGCATTTCTCACAAAAAAGAACATGAGAAGTAGAGATAGACACACAGAACTCCAAAAACAGAAC